CCGCTGCGGCACCCCACCGCCGCGCCATGGAGCCGAGAGCACCCAGGGCTCCCAGGCCACGCCAGCAGCACACCAGGACCCTATCCATACCCCCCAGCACAGCCCCATTTGGGAGGCCTGTGCCCCGGGATGGGATGAGCTGCTGCCCATCATATTCTCTCCGGCTGAAGGGGACAGGCCAGCATGCACACCAGGCCGGCAGGGGACCCGTCACCCACCAGGGATCACTCAGAGCAGCTGCCGCAGGAAATTCCAAACTGGCTGAGCAGTTCGGGTTCCAGAGTCTGCAGGGCAGAGACCTGCTCCGCCACCGGGCACCGAGGAGGGAGGGCTCCCACGTGCCACCGGCTGGGGGGGGGTTGGGGGAGTGAAGGCATTTGTTAGGTGGTGGGGGCATCCGGGGGTTGTCAAAGGGGAAAAAGGAGACTTATGTAATACTTCAAACAATAAAGAATTTAAATAAAAATAAAAAAGAAGACACGCCCGCTGACTGAGCTCGGCAGCCCCGGGCCCCGCCTGGGCTCAACGGGCATCGCCTGAACACACTCCCACAGAGCTGCATGGCTCTCCAGGGATGGCGGGCTCTGCGGCCAGACGTGGGGCTGTGAGAAGCGCCTTCCCCCACTGTGATGGGCTTACACTCAGACCTGCCCTGAAAAGCAGTTTCAGGGAAACGCTTGAGAAGGCTTTTGCCTAAAGCCCCTGGTGCAGTGCGGCCCGAGGCAGGCAGTGCGCTCAGGCGGGACGGCAGCCTGACGGCTGAGGCTCTGGGGCAGGAGGTGCGGGGCCTGGCCCTGCCCCAAGTCGAGGCTGAGTGACAAGTGCAGAAGGAAGCACCCCACTTCCATGGGGAAAGGAGCCGCCTGCATGGCGCCCCTGGTCCTACCTGGATGATGTCCGCGAGCTTCTGCAGTCCCGCCGTGTGGGTGAACAGCCCTGCGCCTGTGGGAGCAGCGGGCACTGACCACAGGCTGCAGCCTCAGGAGCCAGGAGCCTCACCCCAAATCCACAGGGGCCACCTGGGGAAGGGGCTTGCCTGCTCTTCTCCGTGTGTCTCCAGAGTATCAGTGAGGGGGAGCAAATAAGGTTGAGGCTGCCCAGTTACACCCCCACCCCCGCCCAAGAGGGAACAGAGCCTGGTGGGGCCCACAGCTCCGTGACCCTGCTCTTCTGGAAAGCTGACTAGGAACAGCTGGCTGGTGCAAAACTGGACCAAGCACCACATGGCACGACACCGTGCCCGCATGTCCCCTGTCCGTGGCATTCCCCTCGGCACAAGCAGCAGAAGGCGCAGGGCGGGTGGGACTCACGTCCTGCCAGGTGCTGGATGATCTGGTCCAGGGACTCCAAGATGCAGCCCTTGGTCTGAAGTGTGATCTGGGCCTCGGCAAACAGCTCGAAGATGTAGCTGCCGGGAAGAGAGGTGACCAGCTGGGCTCTGGGAACCTAATGGCCAATGGCTTTTCAGAAACGAGTCCTGAGCCCTCTCGGAGGCACCTGGAGGGGACAGCCTCTGTGCCAGGAGCCCCCGGGCCGGGGCTCCAGGTGGAGGTCCTCAGGGCCCCCTGAGGCCGTGGCTCTCGCAGCTTTGGGGAAAGATGGGAGGGCAGCACCAGATCTGGGCGCCGTGGTGTGGGGCAGGGCAGGCAGGGGCTTGCTTCATCTGGGAGGCAATGGGGTGTCTGTGAGCATCTGAGCGCAGCAGAGCAGACAGCGGCCTGTGCTCTGGAATGTTCCTGACCAATCCAACCCTCGACAATCTGGCCTGGTCCCAGCGCAGCGTCAGCTGTGGACTGAGGGGGCTACCACCAGCCTCAGCCAGGCCCCGGTGCCCGCCTGCAGGAACCAACTCCACCGCCCGGCTTCAGGGCGGCCTAGACGTAGCCTGGGGCTGTCAGAGCAGCCTGGGCCCTCTGAGGCCTAAGGAAGCGACTGGCGTGACTGCACTCTCCGTCTTAGCAGAAGGTGTGCTTGGGCTGGCGTCTGAGCACCAGAGGACGGGACACAGCGGAGACCAGTGCACATCTGGGTGAGTCAGCAGCCCTCCTGGGCCTCCAGACCTGGGAGGGACCCCACTGGGCAGCCAGGACAGAGCCCCACACACGTCCGGCTCCAGCTGCAGGCAGGGCCTGGGGTCAAGGGCCAGCTCCCAGTCCCTCACCTCCCCGGCTTGGTGACACCTCCGTCACCTCCAGGCAGCTCCACAGCATCGATGGCGCCCTCCAGGCGGAGCAGGATCACTGCGGAGCACAGGTGGTCAGGGCGGCACCAGCCAGTGGGCGGGGCGGAGGGGTGAGAACAGCACTTACTCTTCAGCTTCGCAATGTCCTCCAGCTCCATGTTCAGCCCTGGGAGAGAAGGGGCAAACCCACAAGTGTGCGTCACCCACTGCAGGGAGGGAGCCCCGCAGGGAGAACTGCCTCACAGCGGAGCCAGCGCTGAAGCCGCGAGTGCCGGGCGCCTTGCCTGGGGCCGTGACCGATGTCCCACGCACCCTCGCCCACTGAGAGCACCCAGGGCTCCCGGGAAGCATGGCTGAGGCTGGGACAGGAAAAGCAGGGAGGGGGTGTGACCCCATCTACAACTACGGGGACCGAAGGGACAGAGGTGCCCGCGTGACAGCAGCAGGAGATGGGACACCTGAGTTCAATAATGACAAAACTGTCGCCTGTGATTCCATACACGTGCCCATGGGGCAGTGACTATTCCCCTCCTGCTGACAAGGGACCAACAATAAGTTGGGAACAAATTCAAACTCCCAAATTTGAAAACTGGAAAGGTAAAGGGGAAAAGCAAGCATTTGTTCTGCCTTTCCCATCAGAACAGCCTCACCACCGAGCCAGTGAGGCGCCGAGCACCCAGAGAGACTCGTTCCTGCTAATAAATCAAACAGCCACAGGCGCGTCCCATGGGAGGGTGGATCTGGGCACCCAGCGTCACAATGGCACTGGCCGAGCGAGCCCAGCACCAGGGGCAGCAGGGCCCGAGGGGCCACAGGAGCCGGAGCCGGAGCCGGTGGGCCTGTTGGCGCCCGGAGCTCAGACCTCAGCCTCCAGGTGTAGCCCAGAGGCCACACCAGTTCATGTGTCCACCAGGACGGAGGGCAGGTCTGACCATCCCGCCTGCTCACAGCAGTCACTGGCCTCCATTCTGACAACAGCCACCCACCTTGCTGACGATTTTTTTTAATCAGAAGAGAAAGTTTATTTAGAAAGTGACAGAAGTGGAAGTGAGCCTCTGGGCTGTGCAGGCTCAGGAAACAAGTCACAGAGGCAAGAGAAGGGCCCTGGGGTGACAGAAAGGCAAAGGCAGGCGCCTAGGGTGAGGGCGGGAGGGGGGCGCCTGAGGGAGAGCCCGCCCGTGGCTGCGTCCGCTTGGACAGCGCCCTCGCAGGAGAGTCCATCGTGCCTCTGCCCTTCCTTACCGGCCGTCTCTCAGTTTCAGAGTCGCTGGCACATTTTAGATGCAAATCCCTCGTCAGTTATGGTCGACAGGTTTCTCCCACTCTGTGGGCTGTCTCTCTGCTTCCGGACCGTGTCCTCCGAAGTCCAATCTATCTACCGTTTGGTGACTGTGCTGCTGGCGTCAATTCTAGGGATCCATGCCTCAGGCAAGGTCATGGAGACGCCGGCGGGGCCACAAAGAAGGGAAGAGGAGCACCTCGTGGTGAACCCCCGGGGCAGGCAGGCAGGCGGGCGGGGGGCCCCGTGTGGAAGTCAGAGCCAAGGGTGGAATGGGCAGGACGTGCCGAAGGGCACTTCACATCTGTGCCCTTCCTCCCAACCCCGGAGCCCAGGGACTGAGAGAAACCACAGACAGTCCCCACTCAGGGACACGCTCCCTGACCACCCTGCTCAGGCCTCGAGGTCTCAAGAACAGGGAAGCCTGAGACCCGTCCGGGGAAAGCAGCTGCGGGAGGGCGAGGCGTGTCGCGCACACAGGCAGGGACACGAGGGCGAACCATGGACATCGCCCACTCACACCTCCTAGGATGCTGTTGCCAAAAAAATGAAGGCCATCCAACAACTGCCAAGATGCTCAATTGCACTCCTCAGACAAAAGCAGCTCGGAACTGCAGACACCCCATCCATCGCTGTGGCCCAACCTCAAAGGCCTGCCGTCCGCCAGGGACAGGCGGACACCGTGCCCGCTGCTGCTCTATCCACAGCACACACCACCCGCTAGCCCGGCCGCCCACTTCTGGGAATTCACCCTGAAGAAGTACCGCAAACAAGAGGAAAGTGCGCACACACGAGGTTACTCATTACTGCGCTGTTTGTCATCGCAAAGTCCGGGAACCAGCTCAGCCCGAGGACACGCTGGGCAGATGCAGGGGCGCCTGCCCGTGAGGCGCTCGCAGCACTGGAGGGCGTGCACCGGGCACAGCGCCCACAGGCACGGACGCCGTGCAGGAAAGCAGCATGGAGGAGGTCGGACGCCTCTCCTTTGGCTCTCGCTCGGCTCCCTGACCATGCCTGACAAACCCGACATGGCTGAGATTGAGAAATTTGATAAGTTGAAATGGAAGACAGAAACGCAAGAGAAAAATCCACTGCCTTCAAAAGAAACGAAAACAGGAAAAGCAAGCAGGCACATAAAAATGAGGCTCACACCGCCCATGTGAGCTGCACATTCCCCGAGCACTGCCTTCTTATCTTACTTCTTCCAGCTGTTTAACTTCGTAAGATGCAAAGAGGTTGGACCAGTTTAAGTGACTGTGCTGCCCCTTACACGTCACAACTACTGACAACAGCTGGCTGGCAGGGAGGGGGGAACTTGCACGCTGCTGAAGGCGGGAGCTGGGTGGGACAACGGTGAACCTAGAGTAAACCCAGTTGGTCTAAGGGGTCCTGCGGGCTGTAAAATGCAGTGTTATCAGAGTGCCATTTTTTTGTTAAAATGATTTTAATTATTGGAATGCACAATTTTTTAAATATGCAAATAAAAAGTTTTAAAGCCTGAAAAAAAAAAGAACAGAGTGGAAAAAGGAGAGAGAACAAGTAAAATGTACCCATAAAGGCAAAGAAAGAATAAACTAGAAACTAACAAGACACTGCTCTTGAGTATACTATTACTTTGATATCTGGAACCATGAGAATGTTTCAAATACTATAAAAAAAGCTGGTGTGGCTCAGTGGTTGAGCGTCAACCCATGGCTCAATTCCGGTCAGGGCACATGCCTGGGTTGCAGGCTCGATCCCCAGTAGGGGGCATGCAGGAGGCAGCAGATCTGACTCTCTCTCATCATTGATGTTTCTCTCCCTCTCCCTTCCTCTCTGGAATCAATAAAAATACATTAAAAAATAAAAATAAAATAAAAATCAATGGGAAAATGTCCTCACAAGAGGACTAACAAAAAAAAAAATACAAACAGAAACAAATTATGTCAATTGCATACTGTGACCCAGTGAGGGAGGGAGGATGCTGGGGTCCAACCCCAGCAGGTCCAGGGGTCCCCAAAGGTGTGGACG